ATCGAGTTCACAATGCTGGAGGCAGGCACGGCTGGCCTGGCATCCTCATTGCTTCAGAGCTTTAATCAACACTAAGAGGCTGTCTTTCATCTAAACTTGTGTGCAGCTTGATCAGAGTTATGCGGGGTTAAAATATATCCATATGACCCATAATTTGATTCAAGCAACATGTTTTTCTGGCGTGTTGCTTCCCCTGGAGGATGTTGAGAAAGCATTTAAGGAAATTCCTAAGAAATGTAGTGAGACAGTATGAAACAATATTCGATTCATAAAGGGGTGCTTTGTCTTGTTGGGTTTTTCCGCCTTTCCTGTACTGTGTTTGTTTGGAGTTTCTCTTCCCACACTGCCTGAAATGGGCCCGATTGGACTCATTTGTTTGCTTTCTGTAAAGCATCAGTGACATCACCTAAATTTACATTTGTTTTGTTTACTTTTTTTATTCAACCCAGACCAAAAGCATGTGACATAAATCTAATTTTACAATGCGACCTGGCCAAGAAGGCCAGCAAACGTTACAGCAATTATTACACAATAACAGCAGACATATAAAATAGCAGCAGAACAACAACTAATAAAAAAAAAGATGAAAAGGCAGTCACTACATTGTGCACATAGGACAGTAAGAAAGTGGCACTAAACTTATTACTGCAAGAGCAGCTGGTGGTAAGGACCTCAGACAACTTCAATTTAAAACAGGCTATAGGGATAAGTGCCATCAGTGACATACATGTACACACATTGTACGTGATGGGCTAACGAGACGGGACATCTCTAAGCGGTTGACCAATTACAACAGAGCTGGCCAGCTAACCAATCAGAGCAGACTGGGCTCTGGTTTCAGACCGAGGGTGAAAAGAGGTGCTGCAGAACAGGTAGTATGAGACAAATAAAGAGCTTTTTAAACATTAAAGCATGGAGACATGTCACAGTAGAGGAACACAACACAAACATCAACCTGAAGATGAGCATAATGTCCTCTTTAAATAATATTAAAACACTTCTACACTATGTAATTACACTGAATGTCATTCAGTAGTAATATTAGTGGGTTGCGGTTTTAGCTCAGTTTGTCTGTTTATCAGCTAGAATATGGAAAAGCTACTGGCAGAATACTTTGATGATAGTGTGAAGCAACTGAAAGTACATGTTTGGCGCTGATCTGAAACACAGGCCAGAAAAACAAGTTGTGTTTCGCTCTCGTTAACTTTGCAGTTTGGATTCAAGTGGGGTGAGGGAGTCAGAAGTGTTGTTCAATCACTCTGAACAATAACTTGCAAAAATTCTTCACGCACACAAACACATCATGCATAAAAAAACCCTCATCCTCTGTGTCATTTAATTCTTGTTTCACTGAAGGTCTTTGTATCTGTCGATAACAAAAATGTCATTTAAAAAAAAGAACAATGATGAGATCAAAGTGAACCCATGAACAAGATGGTGATATAACTGTTCATATCTCTATTAGATTATGTCAATATCATCATGAGGTTTCAATAGCTCCAGCAAAGTACACATTCAGCCTGTTTTAACAAGAGTAAAGTTACTGAGGGTCACACCAGGGGAGGCGTGGCTCAGTCATCCCGCAGCTTAGCCTGCACACGAATGTAAACACTTTACAATCAGAAGGCACAAGCCCTAGATCTACCGCTCTAATTAATCATTTAACTGCTATTGGTAATTGCTATTATTAACTGTTTTCCGTATTTTTTTTCTCAGTCGGTAAACCAGTCAGACCTCTCGTCTTGCCACATTTGAACAAAGACAAAGGCTTCAGAACAGTCATTCATGTCAACTGTATTTGTATCTGAAAAACTGATCTAGCTCTGCCCCCTTGTGGGGAAACACTGCACTGCAGAGACTCGTCCTGGTTATTGTGGCTGTGGAAAAAAGGGAGCTACTGCCGCAGGTGGCAACATTATGGTGTCTTATTTCAGGACACACGCCGCGGGAGCATCATAAGCTGCTCCACACACACACTCAGACAAAAATCTACAACCCCAGTCGACGGTCAATAAAATAAAGAATCTAAATAAAGAAACGGTAATAGACATGATACATGGTTTAAAGCAAATCATTCTTAAATAGATAGGGACATATTGTATTTACAGATAACTCATTCCAATCTGAATTTAAAAGCTTTTTTTTACTTCTTCGGATACAATAAGGATTGTTAAGGTTCATTGATATACAAATAACAGGGTTTTAGTGGGTCCTTAAAAGTCTTATTCTACTGTCATGAAACTAAGGTCTAAAACTTAAGTCTTAAGATGTATTCTCTACTTTTGTGTTAACTGCAAGTAATCAAGGAAGTCTTCGGTTATTTCACATTTCTTTATTTACATTAATTTCTATTAAATATTAGTTTGTATTTGCTTAAACATTAAATAATGCATGTGCTTGTACTCTATACTCTAATAAGACTTATTTAATACGAACACGTATACAACTTTATTATGTGGTCTAAAAAGTTCTTTACCCCTAAATAAATTGACCTCTTATATCTATAAGTAGCCACTTAAGTGTGTCCAAGTGTGTGGTATACACTGGTTTTATATTGCAGGGGTGGATATCAGTTTTACAAGCATTCTGGTTGAAATGTAAATGTGAAACAATGTCTGGATCGGTTCAGAATATACTGCTTTAATGTTATCTTGTCAAACAATATTCTGCAGTACACTCAAGCCTTGGATTATTGTCCTCACCTAAGTAATATTTGGATATGTTGTTCTTATTGGACAATTTCACACCTGGAGGCAGCCATGTTTGTGAACCCAGGATCGTGTCAAATGACAGTACTATCCCGTAGACACAATACAGGACAGCAGCTGTGGCTCCTCTCCTGTTGAAATGAGGTGGAACGCTGTCTGTCATTCTCCTATCTTGCTGCTCTCTAGCTCCAGACTGGGTGTGATTGTTCTGTAAATACTTGAGCTGCAGAAAAGCCACTCCTCCCTGAAATAGATGCATCTCTTCATGCCTCGCACGTGTCCTACAATCCTCCGCTGCACTCTAATTACTTAGAGTTGATGTTTTTCCGCTGAGGAGTGAATGTTGCCTTTCAAGTGTCATATTGTCTGTCTCCAACCCTGTTTTCCAACCCAGTGCTAAGTGGAAAGTGTCACCGCAGTTAAAAACACTAAGAGGTGCCAGTGAAGCTGACAGGGGACGTCCCATAATCATATGTTACTTGTTGGACTAGACATTATGTTACATTTAATTTTAAAAAGTACCGGTACTACTAACCATTATTTTAATTTCCATCATCTTTTTATTCTTTAATTATAATATTTAGTTGTCATCAGCTTTTCTTTTTTTTGTAACATACTGTGTATTATATTAGTCCCTGTGTATTTTTTTTAATAAACAATTGATTTCATCTTTTTATATATTCTATTATCCCTACTTTCAATACCTCTTTATTTTCAGTACATTTTATTGAGTTAATTATAGAATATTACATATCTTATATTATCTTTGCTATTAACATCTCTTTATTTTTTATTATCAATAGATTTTATTTTGTTATTTATAGAAGATAAGTTATTATATATTATCCCTCAGTTAACATGTATTTATTTCATCCTATTATTAATATATGTAATCTTCTGATATATTCTATTATCCCTACGTTATTTATTTTTATTTTCAGAAGATTTTATTTTGTTAATTATAGACAAATTATAATGATTGTCCCAACATTTTTTTTATTTGTATAATGCAGGGTTCGGCAACCCCTGGCACGCGTATAAGGAATAAATGTGCAAAATATTTAAATTGTATTTTCGGATCCTGAACGACACCGCCGCCAGAGCGCGTCTCCCCGTTACCTGCAGAAGGAAGCCATGCACGCAACGCAGCCCCGCTCTCTTTAACTCCAGGTGACTTTCTGCCGCTTTCCTCTCATGGTGTAGTGCTGGTCGTTTCACCACGGAGGAAAGCACTTCACTAATTGCAGTACCCAAAATGAGCTGTACAAATGCCGCAGTTTTTGCGTGGCTGTGTATTTAGTTGAAAGCCCAGTGGCGATCTGCTCATCTCTCATCGAAATAATATGCTACAAAGGGGCGGACTGGCCATCTGTGTGTTGAACTTTCCTGTCGGCTCCCAGACCATAGTCGAGGAGGGCAGAAGCAACAAGCTTCAGGTTCAATAACCCACTTTAGCTTAAATGACTGGAGAGAGGCGAGCCCTTCTTGGGAGGCCGTTGCATTTATTTAGCTGTTCTTCTGTTTCACAAAATACATCACAGACGGACCTCTGTTTTTCTGCTTCCTCGTTTCACTTCCAGAAACATACACACTTTCCCTCACTGTCGCTCTACCATCCACAAACACACATGCACAAGCCACACCCCTCTCTCGCTCTCTCTTAAAAGGGACAGCGATCTCATCTCACTCTGCATGACCCTAATATCATAACATGTGTGCTCCGGAGAATCACAGAACGGACGATCGTCCTTATTATTATGCCGTTTAAACCAATTATTCAAATGTGTTTGTTAAATTGGGCATCATGTAAGTTGCGCTGACAGGTCCACACACTGCTAACTGCTATGCCACTTTTGCTGTAACAATGTAAATGTCCCCGCTGTGGGACTAATGAAGGATTTCTGATCTGATTCTGACTATTAGATATCTCGTTGTATTCCTACTTTCAATATTGTTCTATTTTGTTTTTAACAGTATATTTCTTTTGTTACTTATAGAATATTATATTTTATATTATTCCTACCATAAACATCTCTTTATGTAATTATCAGTCATTAACAATGTTGTGTTTGTCTATCACTTGTTTTTTTTCAATTGTATCTAGCATATTGAAGTCACATTGAAATTGTAACAATAACAGTTTGTCCTTGAGAAATCAGTTACCATACAAAATGTCAGGACAGGGACTTTGATGAAGTGACTGTAAAAACAAAGCACTCTTCATGAGAGCAGAAACAAAGACCAATGGCATAACATCCCCCCCCCTCTCTGTTTCCTGCCTCTCTCCACCAGGAGCTTCGACCAGATGAGTGTTTGCACAGAGTCGGACTGGGACCCCGAGTCCTCCTCCATGATCAGCTTTGACATGAACCAGCCACACCACCCTTCCTCACCCTCCAAATTCTCCAAGGTTGGTTTTATTCACACATTTATAATCAGTGTTGGAGTAAAAAAACGAAACTGTTTTGGATCAGTTTGTGTGTGTGTGTGTGTGTGTGTGTGTGTGCATATTTAAAAAAGTGCTGTGTCTGCAGTCTTATAATAGTTGTCACAGCAGCTGTGAAATGCTTAAAAACAATCTTGAGAAAAGCATTGATTTCATGACTTCAATCTCATATTTCTATTTTTCTTTTTTCTTCTTGCAATAATCTAACAGATATAATAGTTCACTTTTGTAAGGCAAATAAATAAGGAATGTAAAATTAGAAATAAATAGTAATGTTTAGTATGTTTTCACTTTATTATACTTAATAGTACTCAAGTACTTTTAGAGAACATTTTGAGGTACTTGTTGTTTATGTTTTTTATTTTTGCTTTTGCTACTTAAACTTCTGCTCCACTAAATCTCAAATGGAAATATTGTACTCTTTACTACATTATGTTAACAGCATTTCTTTCAGTTACTAGTTAAATGCATAATATTCTTTATGCAAAACATGTGATGATCATTTAAAGAGGCCCTCTTTAAACGCCCTATGCTTTTAGGGTTTTCCCTTTATTTGCTCCTGTAGTGTGTTATATAGGTTTTTTGTGCATGTAAATGACCTGTAAAGGCTAAAATCCCAAAGTTCCCCCTGACTGAAAGGCCTCCATTGGACTCCTTTGTTTACTTACCTGACACAGGGGCTGTTTCTCAATCGCAAGTAAAACTGCTGCAGAGTAACTATGTCAAGTATACTATGTCATTGAGTGGCGCTAACGGACTGTTTAAATGCATGTTAAATGCCCAGCATTCTGCACCACTCTATGACATAGTATACTTGAAATAGTTGCTCTGAAGCATGTGTACTCGCGATTGAGAAACGGTCAGGGTGTTTCTCAATCTCAAGTACGCTTGCTTGGTAGCACACGTCTTGCTTCAGAAGCGAGGCAAGAATACTTCCTGGCATTCGGAAAACGAAGAGTGGAACAGGCGAGCAAGTGTGCAGGTGTGCGTCATATGAGAGGCCCCGCCTTACATTTTCCGCCACAGATTTGGGGAAATTGGTCCGTGCGCAAAGCATTGTGGGGATTTTAAGACCGGAGTCTACACATGTGCAGCCTGGACATTTCTCCAAACGAAGTACGCCGGGCTCGGTAGAATTCCAAGTATGCTGGACATTGAAACAGTACTTCGGCGGCACTCAATGACGTAGTATGCTTGAAATAGTGGCTCTGGAGCAGCTTTACTCGCGATTGAGAAACACCCATAGTGACATCACTATGTAATACTCACGCTTATTTTGGCTAACGGTCTTACACATTGAACTTGATAGGCTAAGGGGCGGGACATCTCTAAGTTGTTGACCAATCACAACAGAGCCGGACAGCTAACCAATCAGAGCAGACTGGGCTCTGGTTTCAGACAGAGGGTGAAAAGAGGAAAATGAAGAGCTTTGTGAACATTAAAGCATGTAATCGTGTCCCAGTAGAGACACTTAATACAAATATGAAGCTGGAAATAAGCACAACAGGGCCCCTTTAAAATATCATTCACTGTTTTGCAATAAAGTTTGGGTCGCATTAATTAACTACTAGAGAAATTAATTAATTCAAATGAATGCATCTGCAATAATAATTCAATAATATATAAAATAATGCGTCTTAGAGGGGCAATTTCTTCATTATTATTTTCTTCATATTTTATTTTACAGTACATTTGATATTTTAAGTACTTTTGTCTATTTATATTTAGGTTAAAGTAAGATGATGTCCTTGCAGCACAGCCATCTCAGCTAACCGCTCACTAGCTGATATCAGCTACTGTTAGCAACATACCTGAAAATACAATTTCTCCTTAAAATATGATGGAGTTTCAACAAAATCAACGTAGTCCCGTAAAGTATTAGGCACTTCTTCAACTTAACTACATTTACGTATTGCAAAAAAAAGAGATTTTGGCCAACCAGTGGGACTGAAGAAATAATTCTCATTACTTCGAGTCAACGTAGCATTAAAAGGATTTTGATGCTGGTATTTTAAGGTAAAAATAATTACATATTCCTGCATTAAGAACTTAAACTATGTCTTCTGTAGTATTACTTAGTGAAAGTATTATAGCTTTTTGTAGCTGTTTTGACTTTTCCAAGGTTTCTTGTTTAAGTGAACATACTTAGCTTCCCATTCCAGATCATTCTCCAAATTCTGACTTTCACACTGCTTCCTCTCACGTCTGCGTCCAGGGAACAAAGCTTAATGCTAAGTGACAGACAGCATGTCATATCTGATTAAGTAAACATTTAGTGACAGTGAAAGTGTGCCTCCACTTTAAGATAAGATGACAATAGTCCTTTGTGATCTTATTGTCTGTGTGCTATTATCATCAAACCCGTCAAACCTGCTCCTGGATATATTTGTGTCGGTGGGAGTCGTTAGGGAAGTGGTGAATGTTCCCAGGTTTAATATGACAGCCATCCCGCCTTGTTTACACTTTGGCATGGAGTCTGAAAGATCCAATACCCTGCTGTACTTAGGATCACACTATTGTTCCTGTGTGTGCCTTTATTATTGATTATTATCGGCTGCTGAGATCAGAGCATGAAGCAGAGCGTTGGCTGGCAGATAAGGAAGTAGAGCATAATGCACACAGATATGGTTCTATATCTCCACCTACCTGACATTTGTCATTGCTGTGAGTAAATACAAGAGGAATGCTTAGCGCAGAGCTAATAGTAGAAGCTTTGCTTAGAGGGACGGCAGGTAGCCATACAACGCTTAAACATACACTGAACACAGGATACTTTACGTACGCTGTTTTTAGTGTTTATACTGCTTCGGCGCGTGGATTTGTGAATGAGTTCAAGCGACTCGGAGGTACTGTATCATTCTTCACTTTTTATTAAAGCAAAACTAAAATCCTTGATCCGAGAGAGGCTATTCAGTTTTTGTGTTTTATTCTAGAAAAGAGCTGGAAAACTTGGCCACAGGCCACAGGCTGTCTTTACGTTCTGTTTGCTCAGGGAATTACTGTTTGACAACACTGGAGAAGAGGACAAAACCAGTTTTTATCATAAAACCTCCCAAAAACACAGCAGATACCACATGTCTACTTGATTTACACCGCTTTTAGAAAGAGGAAGGGTGGGGTTTTCTCCACACCCTTTCAATATCACTGGATTGTAAATTCCTTTTTTTTCCCTGTTTGCCATGTGAGACATCTTTCACAATATCTTTGTTATACTCTAGTCATGATGCTAATGACCATGCCCTGGAGTCACTTTGTTCAGCGCTGGGACTTTTAACCGTTGACACGCACAACTCCCTGCAGCCAGTACTGCTTGTGTGTTCATCAGAGAGGACTATTCTATTTTCTATGGAATCTGCTACAGAAGTGGGATACTGGCTTTTGTATTTAATGGATCATAATCTTAAGTATTAACTTTCTTTGAGAACTCGAAAATAATTCCACACTTTAGCCTCCAGAAAGTCAAAATGGTATGTAACTGTTGCTTTTTCACACTGTGGTTCATTCTTGTCCTGACGTGTGCTCTTTATGCAGGAACTGTAGTTTGCCAGGTTGCGCAAGTTGTGTTTCACGCCGGCAGAGCATTTTTCACTTTGTATTCGGTCTTCTTTACTGTGACAGAAATCCTGTTAAAAAGCGCCAAAGCAGCCTAAAAATATGAATTAAAACTTCTACACAAGTCACTGCTGCTAGCTCACTCTGCTCCCATATTTTACATTAAATAATCATGTTGTTCTGATTGATTATGAGGCGTAAGACGTTGGTCGTAAGCCTGTGTGGTTTAATTTCAATCTCGTACTGTTTATGTACAGCTAGCTTTGATAACTGAAGTGAACCTTGAACGGAGCATCAAATAAGTTTTACATCTGTCTAGTGAGTCATTAGCAAACAAACTCCAGCCAGGCTGCGGGTGTGTGCCCAGGCTGAGTTCCGCGGTGTCTCGCTGTCTCGCTGACGGCCACTGGGCTCACGGAGAGGGGGGGGGGCAGGAGCTCCAACAAGCCGTTTAGGACAGAGAGTGAATACACATAATATACAGAGATGCTGTATGAGAAACCAATGTGAGTTTGAAAAATTGCACAATATAAATCTATTTTAGTATCCCATGACATGGGACCTTTAAACTTTAACCTGAAAAGACAATATGTTTGACAAATTGAAGGTGAACTTTTATGAAAACACAAATGCTAATAAAAGAATAACAAATAGTCAAACATTTGTCTAGTTTTGTTAAAAGAAGAATTGGTCATTTTAACATACAATACAACATATTTTCTTAAGACATAATAATTGTACTACATAAGATCAGGCCCAGTGTTTTTCATAATGAAGCCACCATTTCTTTAACCAAAATTAAATTCCAAAGCTTATAACTGGAAGTAAATATGTATATTTTCAGAACAACACTGATGTTGGCGTTATATCAAGTAAAACTAATTGTAAGTTCCTATGATTCAAATTATGTAGTCATCTTTTCCTACAATTTCTTAAGCAAAAACAAAATGAGACATGGTTCTGCCACACAGATGCATGCAATTGTTATGTAATTAAAAATATATTAGTTATATTATACTAGATATTTATCCGTCTGTGTGATCAAAAAGTGCATCTGTATTTTTCCATGCATATTCTTTTCAGAAACTGAATGCAGTAGTTTTATACTCTTATACTCTATATTGTGCTTTAAATTAGACTTTTAACATTAATTAAGTTACAGTTTTTAAGGTGTGGTAATCTATGAAGTAAATACTGCAGTTCCTCAAGGAAAATATTTGGCAAATGATGTCTATTTTGTCAAGCTGTGGTATCCGTTGAAGAGCATATCTTTTTAGTTTTCGTTCCCTATTTTATTTTCTTCATTTCTATCAATAGCAATGCTAGAAATGAAAGATTTTGCCAGCTGCTCTCTCCAACTCATTGTTTATCTTTATGTCTGTCCTCCTTCAGGGTTCGGAGGAGAAGAGGGGAATGATGGATCGCCTCTCCCACTTCTTCAACAAGAGAAAGAGGAGCACTAGGCATCGCTCAGACGCCTCCAGCGATGGAACCACCCCAACATCCCCCCTGTCTCCATGTTCACCCCTGCCCCCAGAGGAAGATGGGCTGAAGACGCCAACTCCATCTCGAAAAGACATTGAGGGAGCAGAGTATGGCGACACACTCAGCCACAGTTCGAGTCCCAGCGGCACCAGCATCATCTCTCTGTTGACAGGGGATGCAGACCTCCCGTTTGCAGACAGTAACAGCAGTGGCAGTGGCAGTGTGAGGGAGGTTCATATGTGCAGGGTCAGCACAGCCAGCAGGGAGAGGAAGTCTGGGAATGTGACTCCAACCACTCTGGATCTCGCTACCACAACTCAACCAAGTGCTGAGTCAGACTTAGGCTTAGCAGAGTCGGTGGTGGAGGAAGTAAGCAGGAGGCTGAGCAGTTTGGATGGAAATACTGTGAAAAATACAGAGAATAAGAGCTCCACATTTAAAATCTCCCTTTACAATGTAGCTGAGAACCCAAAGTCACCAAACTTAACCTCTATAAGCTTGGGAACAAATAAAACATCAGTGAAAATTGGAGAGAAGGGGCACAGCACCGCCTTGAGAGGGTTAACTTTAGGCTCTCGTTCGTCTACCTCGCGCCCCGCCACGACCCAAAAGGAGGGCGGAGACTCTCCGTTCTTAGCGAGGGAAGACAAGAGGAGGGGTCAGGTATTCTCTTGGGACACTAAAGCCTCAGATTGGAGCCCATCACCTGAAAAAGAGAAAGTGCCTGAAGGGGGTTCTCCTGTCTTCTACAAAGCATTATGGGTGGAAACACACCTGGGACCAGAGGAGGACGTGGGGAGGGAGGGGGAGAAAGAGAAGGATATAATGAAACAAGAGGAGGAAGGCTTCAGAGCTGATTCTCCTCCCGTGCTGGCTATACCTGTCACAGTCATTCCTGAGGACGACTCTCTCCCCCAGAGCGTGGCAGACTGCCCCTCCAGCCCCTCTGAGACTCTGCCGTCCGGTGGAAGCCTGCCAGAATCAGACCTCTCCTTGGCACCGACTACAGGGGAGTTTCAAACAACAGTACCACAGCCGGAGGAGCCTGGCACTGGCACAGGCTCAAAGCAAAGTTCACTTCAGGACAAACGAAGGGTGAGAGAACACCGCGTTTCGCGCAAGTCTGTGAATCTGCCTTCCAAGCACAAAGTGTTTGCCCACAAGGTGCGTGTCAGCCCCGAGACAAGTTTGGATGGGGACGAAGCAGCGGAAGAGGAGCTCAGCAGAGATTCAACTACAAAGACTTCAGACGCAACACAAGTGAAACTGTGAGTTTGTTATAATTTTTCTGCGGTTACTGTTTAATAGTCCCTTTGATCCTGGGGCAAGGCTTGGGAGCTTTAGAGAGCTAAGCATGCGTGCAACCTGAGATCTGAGTTCCCAAGCTCTATTGTACCAGAGGAAAACAATACAAACCTGCACTGAAATATTCATGTACAGTACATCCAATCATAGAAAAACTCTGCTATAGATTACCTTACAAATGTAATGCATGTGTTGCTTTCTTAGATATACGTGTCAGGCTTATGCTTCATTTAAATGAAGGTCACCTTTGCTGTGTTTACCTATGATGTGTGTTTTCACTGTAAGTTAGTCATTAGGAAACTGGACGAGCAACTGGCGACGACAGCGTGAACACTTTTGTTTGACTTTAGGGTTACATGGTTACACTGAGGCACATATATAGAAAAGGCATTGCATACGTAAGGATACGGCTCTAAAAAGAAAAGGGATGAATAGTGGTGTGACAACACCCTGTACATTTGTGAGTTACCGAGCACTGCAGGCTACAAATGGTCCTGCCTGACACATACCTGAAGACTGATTTATTGTCTTACAACATAGCTTACGTTTTTATGAACATAAGGGGTTACTTCAAAAAATTAACCTGTAAATAAATGTAATAAGTAACTAAATCTAAGTATCACAATATGAAAGTAATTTAACCTGATAACTTTCTGTAATTTTTGGTTGACCTCAATATCAAATGCAATGCGAATAAATACAAGAAGAAATAAATGTCAATAGGATGTTTTTTACTTAAGTATTTTATGTAAGACAACCAAAAAAAGTTACTTTAGAAAATAAGAAACTCAGATATTAAGTATCAAATAAGGTGTCCGTGTACTGCATTTAAAAAAAAAAAAATGAAAGTGGCATAATAATGTACCAGTAATTCAATTACATATTTTTTTAATGTAGCTGTGAGGGAATACAGTTAACATTATTATTTTTGCCAGAGTGACACTAATGCAACTACCCCTTAAGTTATTTTACTTGCATGCAGATTGTTTAACTTTTCCCAGCAGAGTAAAAGGAATGTACTTTTCATTGTACCTTTTGAATGACTCATTCAGTGAGTGGTTGTTAATGTTACTCTAAAATATCTATGCTTGTGTCTCTCTCACTCTCTTTCCTTTCAGACTGCCAAGCCTCCAGGACAACAACAATGTGGAACTTAAGGATGCAAACCTTGAGCCATTTCCAATAACAGACGTCACAACACACTCTGAAACAAACACTCCTGAACCCTTAGTTATAGAAAAAACAGAGTCTGAGGCCTCAGATTTTGATGATATCTCTGCAAACTCAGACATGTTCAGAGAAAAGTCACAAGCACCTGGGTCTGGGTTAAAAGGCCAAGGAACTGCTCAGGCTCAGCCCTCTAAACGAGGGGTTAAAGCAGCAGCAGAAAGTCGGCATACCACAGCAAGTGGAGCAAAGGCCCCGTCATCAACAGCTGGCAGCAAGGACAAACTTGTGACAACAAAGGCTAAAGCCTGCACAGAGAGCACAGAAGTGGGAACTTCCAGTGATATTCCAGCACAGAGGGAACCTAGCAATGATAAAACAGCTTCTATGTTACCAACATTAAAAGACCAAATCACCAGTGGTCCCTTAAGTCCAACTGCTACAAAGTCTAAAATCCCCAAAAGGTTAGGATCGGATGCTGATGTGAAATCACCAGTGACACCGGATAAAATGCCGGTGGCTGATGCTTCCGGGTCAGTGTTCACTGAGGCCTTGAAATCTCCGGTGAGTCCAACCAGAGCTGTCAGGAAAAAAAGTTTTGAAGAAGCCAAGGGAGGCCGAGCTCTGTCAGGGAACATTTCTCCAACAAAAACAACAAACAAGACAGGAACAAAGCTTATTAAAGAAAATCCAAATGAGGTCAGTGACTCTATAAAGCTGGTAAATGGCCTGGAGAATGACCACGAGGAGAGTATTGTTAAAGCAGGACACCAAACGGACAGGGAGAGTAATGCCTCCTCGGCATTAAAGAGCCGATTACCCATTTCATCTCCTACAAGAAAGAAGAATGTTGATACAAGTGGCACCAACTTCAAAAGAATGACACATGATCAGACCGATTCAGACATATCCAAGACAGAACAGAAGCCAAAGCAGCAAGAAGTAATTCCTGATGAGAGGCCTGGTAGTGCATCACCACCTCCACTGCCTGAAAGTCCCAAGAAAGGTAAATACAAACAAAACATGTGTATACTGTCATTATTTCAGAATCATTGGACCGTAGTTGACAGCAAAGGTGTGGACTTGTGTTACATGACTTAAACTCGAGTCAGACACCAATAAAAAAAAATATGAATTTAGAATCGACTTGAAAAAGAAAAGAAAATTGAAACTCAACTTGGAGTTAAATTACAATGGCTTGATTTGACTTAATAATTAGCAATTAATTCCCACAAAGTTGGCTTTTCATTTCCAGAATCCACCTTGTGAACTATTCATATCTTAGACTGCACTGTAACTTTTATCCATGTATTTTTTTGTTTTAATGTTTATTTTATTAACTTTTCTTTTTAATGACTGATTTTAAATGCTATTTTCTTAATGTCTTTCATTTTTTGTAAAGTACTTTGAATTGCCTTGTGTTGAAAAGTGCTATATAAATAAACCTGCCTTGCCTTGCCTTGTTTTAAACACAGCATCCAATCAAGTTGCAGGATTTAGTTGGAAATATAGAACAGATGAATTTGTACAAGTACAAAAACCAACAAACAACCAGCAGATCAATATTGGTGGAAAACTCATTATGAATGTTTTTACACTTCGCAAAGAGCTTTAAAGGTAGGGTAGGTAATTCACTTCAGAAACACTTTTGTTATATTCCATGGAATGCTCTTAACATCCCGATAGCAATGAATAAATTAAATGCTTTGACAATAAATATATACAAATATTTCAGCTGTGAAAGCCGTGGCGCTGTAAAAAGCACGTCCAATTATCTGCCTCGGCCCGCGGCAGATAATTGGATGTCCTACCTGCTTGTCAGCCTTCCATCCCTCATTGGTCATGTGCACGTTCGTGTGTGTTGGAGGAGGGGCTCTGTAAGGAAGTCTGAAGGAAGGGAAAGATTTTTTTCGGTTGTGTACTTTCAAATTCTAGCGCACTCAAACTGGTTTCTCCATTCTTACCTACCCTACCTTTAATATGACAACTATTAAGCTTTAGAGTAAATATACTTTTATTTATTTTTATTTTGTTACCTTTAGATGTGCTGCTTTTCTGTTTTTATTCTAAGCTAAGCTTATCTCCTTGCTCCAGCTTCCTATTTACCACACATCTTTTCACCTAACTTGACAAGAATGCATAAGATTGATTTGTATTCTTGTTTGTCATACAACTATTTGTTTGTGTCACAAACAGGAGGTATGCTGTCACCAAGATCATCCAATCGCCCCACTAAAAGAAGCATCAACCAAGAAGACAGTGACACACGCAGCACTAGTATCTCTCCACCTCCCACCAAGCAAGAGAAACCCTTCTCTTCAAGGCTCTCCAAACCCAGCGACTTCAAATGCCAAAAAAGTCCAGTCCCATCGCCTGTAAGCAAGCTTCCTACAAGAGGTGAGAGAAGCCCCAACAAAGTAAGATCCAGAAAACCTTCACCAACTGAGAATTCTGTGAGCACATCCACGTCCAAACAGGAGGACTCAAATCAGAACAAAGCGCCTGAGAGTGTCAAAGCAGATCAAGTGAAAGACAATTCCATTGGTGACATATTTGTATTCGATTCTCTATCAAAAGAAGGAAAAGAGCATGCAATAAAACTCACAGACAGTATAGGTGAAAACAAAACAAAAGGAAATCGGTCAAAAGATTTAGAGGAGAGCATAACCAGTCCTGCAACAGAGAATATTTCAAACATCCAACAAATACAAAACAATGATGCAATTGTTCCGGAAAAGGCTCAAATAATAGTTACACCACTAAAAGGCTCAGGGGCTGAGGTGTTGCCAAGCAGTGATGCTGCCAAGGCAAGCCCATCTCAGACGCCTATTTCTGATGTAGTTACTGGTGCAAAACTCGATTTGCAACCCACTACAGCTCACATTCAAAGTGAAAACACCAAGCAGGAACAGGAAACAGCACCAAAGATTTGTCCAGAAGAAGTGAAAGAGAAAGACAATTCAGAGGCAACGCAGCTAATAGGTAACAGAAAACCAGATTCAATCAAAGATAGCGGCCTTCCAGAGCCGAACTCTGGTGTGTTGGCGAAGGACACAATATCCGCCTATGAGGATGTAAGTGATATGTCAGCAAAACCTGTTGTGGTTGCCAGCACTCACTGTGACATAATGGCCCGTTCTGATCTGGATCATGTTTTACTAGGAAGTGTTTCCTTTAAAGAAACAAATAAGGTCCCTTCTAAGGAATATAATGGCAGAAATAGCCTTTCCGCTAAAGACCAAGATGCTGAACCCAAAGCTGTATTAGCAAGCACTTCCATTGATACTGGTGTTGACCTGGCCAGAACAGAGCAGCAAGATGAGTTATTGAAGGATCAAATTCTTAAAAATGATAGATTTCCCACATCGAGCAGAGATTTATCAAATGATTTTAAAGAGAAACGTATGGAGGAGGTTGGCAAGAAACCAGCAGAGGGTTTGGACATTCAAACAGAGGCTGTGACTGTTTGTGAATTGCAAAAGAATGTTGAAAATCCGATGGACAAAGAGCTTCTTTTGCTGCCAGGAGAATGTGAAAGAGATGAGAAAGACTCAAAACCAAATAAAAAGCTAAATGATACTGTGGTGGAAAGCTCTGACTCACAGAGCAGTTGCAAAAAGGAGCTGAAGCGCATAACTGTTGAGGATGAAGAAAGAAAAGACCTTACAAAACCACAGAAGCCAACAGATCTTTCATCTGGAAATAAATGTTCACAGCCTGACTCAGAGGACGGAATACAGACTGTAGTTACAGATGCCCTGGAAGAGAAGAAGTCTGAGCAAGCAAAAAGTGCACTCCAGGACAATACAGCCGGTTTGGTTGATACAAAGAAGCAATGTGAGATCCTCTTAAAGGAAATTGAAGAGAGTGGTGATCAGGAAAATTATCAGCACATGAACACTCAAACTTTGGAAAATGAACAGGAACCAAAAGTCATTCTTACCAAAGATAAGAAGATCGGGGATAAGGAGGCAAAACAGGGGGAAAAACAAGCTGACGTTGCTAAGAAAATAAGCACAACAACTACTAAGAGTAAAACAAAGGAAGTGTCAATGCAGAATTTACCAAATGAGAATTCTGAAGTTAGGAAACAAAAGGAACAGAAGACGTTAAAAGCTGGAAATCAAGATGGGGATAAAGCAGAGGAGAATGCTAATGGGTCAGCAAAATCCAATGTTTCAAATGCTAACCTAGAACAGCAACCTGTAACAGAAACAGTTCCAAAGAAAACAACAAAAAGCCATTTTTCACAAACAACTCAAGAACTAAAAGCAGTAAACAGTGAAACCCAGAGTGCTCAAGGTACTACAGACAAGACTGAAACTAAAGATTCACCAATCAAAAGTTTGGTGAATGAGACTCCAATTGTAAATGCTGAAGTAAGCAAACAGAAAGACCAGATGTCCACACTTGTGAGAGAGCAAGATGAAGACATTACAAGACCAGAGAAAAACCAATTCATAAAATCCAAACATCCAAAATCTAACCAGCAACAGCAACCACGGACAGACAAAACTCAAGTTCAAAGTAAACAGATTTCACAAAGTGATACAACTCAAGAACTCCGACCTATGTGCAATGAAGATTGTACAAAAACTGACCTGAAACAGGAAGCAGAAGCGGTACAATCAGAAGCTACAGAGAAGAAATCAGAAAGCCGAATTAAAGATCTAAAGGTTGTAGGCACTGAAACTCAAAGTGCATCTGGTATCAAAGGAAAGACAGAAACAAAAGATTCATCTGTCAAGAGTGTCGGAGGTAAGGTAGCAAAGACATTAGAAACTCCAAAGGTATTAGAAAGCAACAGTCAAGAACCAAAGGTTGCAACCACCAAAACTCAAAGTGTTGAGGGAGCTAAAAAAAAGACGGAAACAAAGGATTCATCAACAAAGGATCAGAAGACTGTAATTGCTAAAGATCAACATGAGGACATAACCAATCCAGATAGCAGCAAATTAAAAGAATCCAAACCTCCAAATGCTGACCTGAAACATGAGGTGGTAAAAACGGGAGCACCAGAGAAGAAATCAGAAATCCAAATGAAAGAATTAAAGATAGTAAGCAACAAACCCCAAAGTGCTGGTGGAGCTAAAGAGAATACTGAAACAACAGGGACATCAGTAGAGCGTTTGCTGAATGAGACGGTGAATTTGGAAGTTAACCATGAAGTTAGCAACCAACAGGATCAGAAGTCTGTAATTGTTGAAGATCAACATCAGAACATTACCAAAGCAGATACAAGAAAACGCCCAAAGGCTGACCTGAAAAAAAAAACACAAGAGAAGAAATCAGAAGGCCAAATTCAAGAACTAAAGGATGAATGCACTAAAACTCAGAGGGTAGAAGGAACTAAAGAAAAGACTGAAACAAAGGATTTACCAATGACAAGTTTGGTGAATGTGATTGTTATTGAGAATGCTAACTTTGAAGATAGCACAGAAAAGGAGCAGAAGCCCTCAGTTGTCAGAGATGAGCCTTTAAGGATTAATAAACCAGAGAATGTCACTGGTCAATCCACAGATTTTAAAGCAGCCAACAAGAATGATGAGAAACAAAAGAAAATTAAAGAAAGGAAAGAAGGCTTTGAAATATCAAATAAAGTGACAAAGCAGGAAAATCAGCAGAAGAAGGCATCAAAGTTAGATGCTCACCAAGAGTCAGAAAGCATTTCTGTGAAAGATGCATCTAGCAAAATAAGTGGTGCAGAACAAAAGGACAAGCCCACTGTTGTTCCAGAGGCGGGACGTCATAGCACTGATGCTCAGAAGAAAGATGAAGACACCAAAGAAAAAACTAAAACAGGCAGTGGTTTCAAACGGGAACAGCAGAATTTAGAAAAAGAGAAAACCAGAAACCTCAATGATCCAAAAAACCCTACAAGCCCATCACTCAATGGCAGTTTGTCTCTTTCTGCAGCAGCGGAAGCACCCGCAACATCTCAAAGTCCTCAGCTAAAGAAGGAATCTCCATCTAGTTGGTTAGATTTAGAGCATCCGAAGCAGAAGAAGGCGCATAAAAGAAGACTAAAGGCCTCTGCAAGTGAGGATGAATCTCTTGATCCTGATGACTATGATGAGTTAATCAGGAGCATTAAGGAGGGCAGCATTCCTTTCTCAGTGCCTCCCAAGAGGCATATTCCTAAAAGGTCCCTGTCTCCACCTCTTACTTTGTCACCTATCATTGAGGACCATTTTGAACCATTTGATCGAGAGCAATTCCAGTTCGGCTTAGGGAAAAATGGCGCAAGTTTTAAGGACCCTCCCCTATTATCTATGGTGATGAAACAGAAAGCAGCTAGTAGGGAAGGGCGGTTTCTGGAACGAGAACAGGATAATGCCAATCGCACATCTCGAGGCCAAATGAATTCACTTGATGAGGTGGAAGGCAAAGATGGAGTCAAAGAGGGGGATAATACTGAAAATGGACAAGAAGAGGGAAATAACAATGGACAAGAGGCAGGGAAGCTGACGTCACGACTTGGGAGGATGTCCATCCTCTCCAGCTTAATGAATTCCCCTCGGCCCTCCAGGAAAGCCAAAGAGGAAGTTGCCTCTGACACAAATAGCACGCTTTCCACTCCACAACGGGACCTGCTCTCGCTTGGAAAGAAAGGAGTGTTTGATTCACCTCTGCCTGCAAATAAGAAGGGTGTGAAAGGTAAAGACCAAGGCCCACTTGTGGGTGGTGGTATAGGTGCAGTTAGTGAGTCAGCAGTCAACCCCTCCTCTCCTCCTCCTCCTGCTCTCCCGTCGTTCTCAGAGTTAAAGCAGCCTGTTCATTTAGAGAAGTACCTCAAGAAGAACAAATCAGAGTCTGAGGCCTCCAGCGGCTCTACACATATGACTAAAACTGAACTAGGTCCTAAGGGTGCGACAATGGACCAGACCCCAATAGAAGTACCAAATGTCGAAGAGAGCCTGAAGGGCCCCGCAGCACTGCCTCCAACCAGCGAGAACAGCCAGCAGACTTCCCTGAATGGACTAACTAAACCTAAGCCTAAGGTAGGAGTTTAAATCCTTTAGATTATGATCTTTTATAATACAGTTCATTTTTCGTTTTATTCAACTTTGAAAGAAAAAAGGTATAGTGGCCCACAGCCTGACTGGGCTTTGAGCTGTGCCCTAACAGAAGCTTTCTCTCTTCAAGTTTGTTTCCATGGTAATATGACTCAGTCTCATATCCTGTTTTGTGGTGCTGTTGCAACAAAGTTATGAATGATTTGCAAGTAAAGACAGGACAAAGCAGGATGGCCTCACCTGGCAGGAGATATTTGCCAAGATCAGCTAAAGCTGAACTGTCACGTCACAACATATTTGCATTTATATGCAAACAAAGCAAGACTATGCAAAACATGTGTCTGTGTATTACTTACTGCACGGCATGTGTTCAATTCTCTCCCTCAATGATTCCAACACACTTGTACCTTAAGGGGTTTTATTTCTGCAGTTGCCAGGGATAGATTATAGTGCGGCTCTACTTATATGACCAAAAATAATTTACCATTTGGTTTAACAAATGTTGTGTAAGCATTATTGAATATGGTTAACAAAATGAAATACATAGCTAGAAGTAGTGGATAAATGTTACAAAGTTTGCTAAAAAAATTCAAATCAACACTTTAAGGAGTGGGGATAAATCGTTCCTATTTCCACATATAATTCAGCTCTGAAAAGCATAACAATTGAAGTTAAATCTACTTTTTTAAGTTTAAGTTCATGATGAAATGATTACATTTTCTTTCAGACACCTGCAGTAAGAGGGTTCCACAAAAGGCCTGGAAAGGTATGATTACATGTTATTTACTTATTATATTATGGTGCTTGCTGCTACATGTTCTAATGAAATGTCTATTTGAATCCAGATTGTCGTACATGAGCAAGACCAATTTGGAGGGCAGCAGTTTGAACTGTACTGTGATGTAGAGGATGCCACCACGATGAAGCTGTCCCCTGTCATCTCAGTCAGAGTCATCAGAGGATGGTAAGTGTATTTGATATATATTTTAGTCTCTGTTGGTACTTGTTTCAGATTCATCCCATTTGTTTTTTGTTTCTCTTTGCCCTTATAAACATCTATCTAACAGAGTGATCTACAGGTGTAAAATGTCTCCTTCCATAAACTGCAAGATGAATGACAATGTAACTCTCTTTTTCATTAGCTGGCTGCTCTATGAGAAACCTGGCTTCCAGGGTCGTATCATCGCCCTGGAGGAAGGTCCTACGGAGCACTTAGTGAATATGTGGGCAGAGGAAGGGACCCCGACCACACCAGATGCAATGGGTCAGCCTGTACCAACAGCACCTATGGTCATAGGCTCTATTCGACTGGCAGTTAGAGTACGTTAACCTGTCATACTGTTTCCATACTGTTATTGTAACTGTTTGTTCTGTTATGTTGTTTCCAGTCACGTATGATCCCTGTGGAATTTGTTAAAAAAAAAAAAGTCCTGAATATTGTACCTCAATAATGTATTGGTAAGTATTATATTTAATTTTATTCTTTTAGCAGACCGTTTGTGATCCAACTATATATTTTATTTTATACTGTATTTGATGTGGATTTCTTATATTTAAATGTACCAATAGAAAAGTATGGCTTCTTTATAAATGCATAGGCACTGATACAATTCAAATGCACAATATTTTATTTTTATTTTATGTTTACAGGATTATAGCATTCCCCATATTGACCTGTATCCTGAGGTCAATGGGATGGGGAGGATGACCTCTTACTATGACGAGACTGTGGAGATTGGCTCGTACAGTATGCCGCAGACCACTGGCTCCATTAAGGTTCATTCTGGAGTGTAAGTTCAACCGACTCATTTAAAGTAACAAGGAGTCTATGTAAATGTAGTTGTTGCATTTTAGAACCATATTTCAGTTTCATTATTGGTGTGGTAGTTTTAAATCAAACTCTGTCTATGAAGGTATGCACACTGCAGGCTAGAGCTTACCATTCTTTAAGCATAGTTTTAACTCTTGCTCATGATTGATGGTTATCTTACTTTCATTGTTCTACTAGATTAGAGGTGAAGTACAATATTTAGTCCTTTTACTCATGTGTAATATGACAATACAGATGTACCTGTTCAGAGCACTGCAAAGGGAGATTCCCTCAGTGAAAAGTTCTCTTCTCTTCCTTTCCCCTTTGTCATGCTGTGTCTGTGTCTCCAGCTGGTTGGTGTACACTGATCCAGGGTTTGGAGGGTTTGTGGGAGTGCTGGAGGTGGGGGAGTATCCCTGCCCAGAGGCCTGGGGCTTCCCTCAGCCCTTCATCGGCTCGCTCAGGCCCCTCCGCATGGTACATTATATAAAGTATAGAATATATGTTTCCACTATAATGTCATTTTGTAAGTTGCCTTGGTCTGACATGTATGTGTATCTTTTCATGACAGGGAGCGATAAAGGTGGAGCATCCTCATGAAAGAAAGGTGTGTTACATTTGTTTCATCTATAAATATCTGCTGTTTACAGACACCACGGAAGTGCCAACACCAAGTCTTAGATGTTCCTTTTTTTAACCATTAGTTATTAAATGTTTTTAAGAGGAAACGAATGGTTGACAAGCAGGGAAAATTACGTTCTAAACTAAACAATTAATTATAAAAATAATAGTTGAAATATTTAGTGGAACTGACTACAAAGCTTTTAATTATTTTCAATGTTAAGAAAGAAGTTACCCAATAGCAGCTTTTCATTTATTTATTTGTCTAACCCTGGAACCATTGAAAGCAACTAGATTTCGTTCTTGGTTCCAGTAAAAGTTGTCCCAAAGGAAATATTCACTAAATGTCCTACATACAGCTGAAACGCAATAGTCAAAGAAATAAAGACTCGGTCTTAACTGTTTTTTTTTGTGTGTACTTCATGTATTCTACGAAATGCAAATAATATAGATATTGGTGATCAATTTTCACCAAGTCGAATAAATCCATTAAGTTCCTTCCTTATTTGTAATCCATGAAGCAGGTTGGGGAACAGAAAGTTGTGGCTGTTTGTTTTTACTTATTTTGGCAACAAGAGGCTGACATGCACCATTACCACTTGTTATAAATAGGATTAACATGTTTTCTTGCCAAAATATATGTAATATTAAATTACTTGTAGACACACAATATATGTACATTTTATTAAGAGTGCATAGATTGGTGCACTTCAACCTCTTTTTGTCCAAACAAGTATTAAAACAATGCTTTATTTCACACAAAAAAAGCAGCATACTGAAGATCCTTGCAAAACCTTTTTTTCAATTGCCTGCTAGAGCTTCCATTGTAGGCTGGATGTCACTGTAACTTGAAGAATGATTTTCATTATACTTTAGGACAGAAATGAGACAAACCATACACTAGGGCAGTGGTTCTCAAAGTGGGGGGCGATTCGAAAATAATATGATGCAGTACAGTACTATTGCGAGAGAGAGAGAGAGAGAGAGAGCGCACATAGGTACCGGAAATCGTTGTTGTTAGCTTCTGGTGCTAGCGAGCTACGCTAACGGATATACGTTTTTTTCAACAACAAAGTGGAGGAGAGTCCTCTCCTGTCAGACTGAGAGGCTCAGTGAGCTAAAGGACTCTCTCAGTGTTATCTCAGTGGGTCTCAAATGTTTTGGTCACCATTAATGTAAACAATTATTTCCGAGGCACACGTTTATATGATCATTATAGTTATAAAGAAATAAGAGAATAAATGAAAAACAGGTATGAAATACTATATGACAGTAGAACAAGAATAAAGTTTAAAAGGGTGATTTATAAAATATCCATAAAGAAAAAGTAAATCTGTTTACAGTTCTGTTTGAAATCGGGTGTTGAGAGATGTATCCATAGATCTCTTCATTTTGCTCTCAAAGTGCACCAGATTGATGCATTTAACTTCAATATTTAAAAATAAATCTTCCCGGGGGAGCTTGCCCCCGGACCCCCCTATGTGAGGTCCACACACCACCTATAAAAATAGCACTTGACCCCTGCTTACACCTATATGCCGTGAGCTGATTATCGAGCCTTCGTTCTAACTGTCACACTGTGTATTTGCGTGGGGATTGTTGCAATAGAAAATTCCACTGTAGCGACCGGTACATTAATGGGAAACCCTAAATGTTTGAGCACCCTCTATGAAACGTCAAGCTACCCCACAGCACCCCCAAAATAAATCTCTGGCGCCGCCACTGAGCCTGACTATTTGTGTTGGGGGGCCCGACTTTTATTTTTCTCCAAAGGGGGGGCCTGAGAGAAAAAGTTTGAGAACCATTGCACTAGGGGAACAAACTCTGTAGACCGATACACATCCATGGCCTGTCTTTACAATGACCTCTCATCTTTATCTCCTTCTTTCCCCAGGCCTTAGTGTTTGAGAAGCCCAACTTTGACGGAGAGTGCATAGAGGTTGAGGGTGATGTGTACAACTTGCAAGAAGAACTGGAAGAGGAGAAAACGGGCAAAGAAGGCGAGGAAAAGAAGACCCTGTCTGCAGTGGGTTCTATAAAGATACTTGGTGGTTTGTAAGTATCTGTCTGAGTTTATTATGTTTGGACACACTTTCATTGATTCATGGCTAAATTGGCTCCAGAGCTACACGACTTTGGAACTGTTTGCACCCCGTATGGAGCCGTTTCAAAATACTTGAACGCTGTTATGAAACATATTTTGCCAATTCTGTAATGATTGACTTTAGCCTATTTATGTGCTAAGCCACACCCCTTTAAAGTTTGATATCTTCAAAGCATTAAAACATGTCAATAAGCTCATAATAGGATTCATGGTAAACGTTGATAGTAATCCGACCATTTGTCTAGGTAGATATTCTCAGTTTCTTCTTTTAAAAAAATGAGATGATTGCTGAAAGAAATTGTGAACTTTTTGTGAATTATTTCCGTTCTGTCCTTGCAGCTGGGTGGGTTATCTAGAGGCGGACTTTGAGGGGCAGCAGTACATCCTGGAGGAGGGGGAGTATCCTCACTGCAGTGACTGGGGGGGGTCTGAGGATGGGCTCCTGTCACTTCGGCCTGTGTGCACAGTAAGTGTCACCTGTAATATAATACAAACTTCCTTCTCATTGATGGGGTGTTTCTGCATTGATTCAGCTTTCACAGTGCACTGGTCATTTCATCAGTTCCCGCTCTGCCCCCTGTTGATTCTTAATGAACTGGAAACCTGAAAGACTTGAAATGAGAGAAGTAGAAAAAGTTCCCTTTCTTATCATTTCCCTGTATTGTGTTCCCTAGGATTACCTCTCCCCTCACGTTAAACTGTTCATGGACCGGCACTTTGATGCACGAGGGCTCAATGTGGACTTGCTCGGACCTGTCCCAAACATGCAGGACGTCGCCCATGGTTGCAAAACACAGTCTGCCAACGTCATGGGTGGAGTGTAAGTAAAGAAGAAAAACTCCCATAGTACGAAGTCATAAAAAAAGGAGGGAAATAGTTAGACTCCGTGCCCTCACAGTGTTTGGGCGTGTTCCTCTTACCTTCCATACGTGACTCAGCACTCTGTCACTGTAGGCACAAACAAACACGCACTGGAGGATATCATTAGGAATAATATTGTGTAACTGATCCATTTGAGTAATTGATAGGTTGTGGTTGACAAAGGATACAAATCTCTCGAGGGCAAGGATTTACACTGATATGAATAAGTGCCTCTTTCGTTACAAAAATATATATAAATTACAAGCTTATTTTCTAAGTTTCAGCAAAGAGACTGGATTCAGGCACAATACATACTGCACAGTTTTTAAAATCAGTACCTAAAAATTTCACAATGGGTTGTATACCATTTTTAAGTGAGTTATTTATATAAATAATATATTTGAAACCAATTTTTAGGGAGCAGATTTTTGTCACATTTGACCTGAGTGGATTTGTTTAGTCTTTATCAACATATTTTATAATGTTCTGCTGTTTGCTTTGCATCAGCTGGTTAGTTTTACAACCTCTTAGAAGAAAGGACTTTATGTTTTTATGACGGCAGCCTTCAGTCCAAGTCAGTGATTTATTCAGAGGGACAGGCAGATTACGAGGAGACAGTCTCACCTGTGTTTGTCTCCAATAAGATAAGATAGGAACAAGATTAATGATCCCTGGATTGGAAAGGTAGAGTGTTACAGCAGTCCAGATACACATCATTAAGTACCGTTAATATAGAAATAAAACAACAAAAATAAAGAAAATAAGATTTACATAAGGGTAATCACAATAACTGAAAGAAGTTTGTTTTAATTTGGATGAATTTTGAGCACATTATTTGGTTTCCCTCTTATGTTGTTAGGCAACTTTGAAAACAATTCTCTTTATATGTCCAGATATTTTTTTATATTAATCAAACCAATAATCGATTATTGTTAGGAAAATATCACTCGACACCAGGTTGAGAATGAATAATCAGGTACTAATGTATTCTTGCAAGAAGGAGCATAGGAGTTAAATCACATACAAAGGATATGGGTTAACTCACACACATCGGGTATGTTGCTCACCGGAGCAGCAAAAAACATCAGGCTTATATAGTCCAAAACACGGAGATAACAACAAAGACATAAATCGAAGTGGCGCTAATATCATCAGCAGGTGTCGGAAAGGTGTCGGGGTCATCTGCGATGTCTTCTGGAAAGAGTCACGTTCTTCCTTCACGCCTCATAGAAATGAGATATTTAGGAGTACAAGTATGTTTCTTCTCATAAATATCAACAACCTGAAATGCCCTGCCTCCTCCTATCACAGCAAGAGGCATCTGCAAGGTCATGCACAATGCAGAGTCACACATAGTATCAGTGCATTAAAACAACCCATAATTGTATTTTCTCCAACATATCCCTCCTGTTTATACTTCGTATAACATAGAATTTGGAAAATACAAATGATTATAAAGATTACAAATTCATATACAAAAGTACCCAAACGGCTGAGGTAGGTAGATTGTATAGGCACACGTTCTAGTGTAATATGAATGGATGCCATGGCCTAATTATTTTTTCTTTGATACATCGTCAGTTTCTATCACAAAGAAAATAGTTCCAATTTCTTTGAAAGGATGACAACTAATCGATTCATTTGTGCACTTATGTAGAATAACTACAATAGCACAGCAGTATAGGAGAGTATCACATGTTTTATATATATTAAATGTAGCATAGTATATAATTGAATAAGTCCAACAGAGAGCTAATGAAGGCAGGGTTATTTGAGATGTTTGTGTCCCTGCAGGTGGGTGTGCTTTGAGCAGCCCGGCTTCAGTGGAGAGCTCTACGTCCTGGAGAGGGGCCTCTACGCAGGCCCTGAGGACTGGGGGGCCCAGAACCCCAAGATCTCCTCCGTCCAGCCGGTCTTCCATGTAAGGAATCATGTGCTGGATCAGTTAACGACAGGATGTGGCTAATTTCACATGGGGGTAGTGTTAGGTTCAGCTGTTTTAATAAGGACTGTGTGAGTGAACAGCTTGTGTTAATAACTCCTTCCTGTCGGTTTTACAGGACCCACTGATGGGAACGACTAAATTCAAGGTATCATCCCCTCATCGGAGACTTTATAATAACAGATTAGCTGATTTTTCTGTTCGGGCTAAGTTTCTAAATTGTGTTTCTTAATGTGTCACAGATGCAGCTGTTTTCTGAGGCAGACTTCCAGGGCAGGCTGGTGTCTCTGGAGGACAGCACAGCGGCTCTGGAGGAGGACTTCACCCCCCGGTCCTGTAGGGTGCTGGCTGGGAGGTAGGCACTGCTGAACTGAATCAGACACCCCCCCCCCCTCCAGAACTGTCAGGGACCCTCTGGGTGTAAGAGATTTGGACTTGGCTGAGGAAAACCCTTTTATTTATTTAGCGCCAAATAAAAAACATTTCTTTTGCCGGATAAAAACCTTTCGTTTAGTTTAAATTCCACATGAATCTCTCTCCAATTGGACAACTAACAAGCCCTTTCCAAACACAGTGAATAAAATTAGCAACATTTGAGGGACCCAAGTTTCATCGTTCGTCTCAACATGGTTATAAAATGGTTGGATATGAAAGAAACCGCGAATACACGTAAAAAAAAGAAAATTGAACAGGAAGTCCATTTATTCCTATAGGAACCTACTGTATACGATCTCATATGCAACACTTCTGCAGGTTATGTTAGGCAGATTGTGTGCACTTGATTCAATATAGTTTCTTGACTAGGTTGGGAGTCAAACTGTGTAATTGTATAGTTAAAAGAAACCACAAGCTGGTTTGTATGTCCTTTATCTGACTTGCTAATGCTACAGGCACATATCCCAGTACACAGCAAAAAACAGCTGTAAAGAAATGTGTTTCCTTACGACCAACACTGTTTGCAAACGAGGCTTTAGAATGTATAAATGTACAATGTTTTACAACAATTGATTTGAATGGTACAAAGTTATTGTCACAATTGAAGAACAATAATAAGTGTGTACTTATACCATGACTTATACTCACTGTACTGTTTGTCTCTCTGTGTCAGCTGGGTGTTATATGAAGGGGCTCAGTTCACAGAGAACATGTATGTGTTGGAGGAGGGAGAATACCCCAACGCAGAGGCCATGGGCTTCCTGTCCTCAGACTGCACCGTCCGCTCCATACAGACCACGGGGCATGTGAGTATCTGCTTATATTCAAAACTATTTGTGATCAAATCATTGTGGACTAGACTAATAATACATGAAAATATCTTCTTCTCTTCCTTGCTTAGGAGTTTTCTCTGCCCTCCATCGTGCTGTTCAGTAAGGTGGGCTGCAGGGGTCGCAGGGTGGTCCTGAGTCATGAAGCTGTGAACCTGCAGCAGGCCGGCCTGGACACACGCACACGCTCCCTGGTGGTGGAGGGAGGAATGTATGTCAATGTTTAAAATGTCTTCTATTATCTTTTCTGTTTTTATAAAGAGACAGTTAGTAATCTAAATGGAAACAAATCAGTACCCGCATCCCAAGCAATCAAAGTCTGCTGTTATAAACTTGATTGACATGTCCTTAAATACCGCCCCATGCTCTAACGCAGAGGAGCACAAAAGGATTCAGTGGAAAAAACATTGAAATGTTCATTTCTCAGAAAGGTTTAACAAGCACTCATGAAATTCCCTTAAATGGTGTTAGCTTAGCTTTTAGAAGCACACGAGTTCTCATTAGGAGCAGTAAACATATCAAGGATGTGAGGAAGCCACAAGGTGTATGTCACAGCTGTAGACCAGGAAGCACAGGGGCAATGTAAAGACTGTTCATTTGTGATTTATTTGTAATACATTGTGCCATGCTTTTTCTGCACATGTGTGAGTCTGAACTAACACAGAGGGCTGTCCTCTCTCTAGGTGGGTGTTGTATGAAGGCAGTAACTTCCGGGGTCGACAGCTTCTTCTGCAGCCGAGTGAGGTGCTGGATTTATGGAAGTCCAGAGGCATGCAGCAAATAGGATCCCTGCGGCCATTAGTCCAGGTATGGAAGGAGGGATATGAGCCACGGTTATTACAGAAAACTTCAACTAAAAGGAAAAAAAGCTTTACAAAATATGTTAGTAGACTGCAACTAAATAAAAACAATATCCTTTATTCAAATCAAGACACATTCAAATAAAAACATGGTGAATTGTTTTTCAGCTTTAGATTTTCTCTAGCTATAATATATTGAAAAAAGAGACGGCATGAATTTCCGTCAACTTTTCTTACCTGGAACAAAATTAATGACTTGACATTCTATTAGATTGTGCTGCAATTGCTCAACATATGACACATTACGAATTATGGACATTGCTGCACATTTGTCCAAATATGCATGTTTGTATTTATATAGCTTCTACATGTAGCAAGCCCTTATAAAATAATTTGAGGCAAAATTAATCGAATGCACATACAAAACACACTGATAGTAAAATATAAATTAAAAATAACAATTGAACCTTTAAAACTCTAACCTTGATATAATTATATATCATATCAAAAATAGTTGTTGTCCTTAGTCTTGTTAGAGTCTGATGGATGTATTGTATGGAACATAAAATACCAAATTGTCACATTAATCAAGTCAGATCAATAAAACACGTGTTGTTGGCATCTTACATAAACCAGATGTGACCCTGGGTTGTTGCATGTTCCCCCCCAACAGAAGCAGATGTACTTCCGTCTGAGGAACAGGGAGACAGGAAGTGTGCTGTCTCTGACGGGGACTCTGGACGACATCAAGCTGATGAGGGTTCAGGTTGTGGAGGAGACGGGGGGGCTGGAGCAGGTCTGGCTCTATCGGGGCGGGCAGATGAGTTGCAAGGTACATCAGACCCCCACCACACAATATAAAGCTGTAACACTGACCACGCCCCCTCTGGAAACTACCTATGGCCTGATTATCTTCAGTATATGAGCTACTAATATATTGTTGGAAATACAAAGAGTTTTATGTAGTAACGGTTTTGTTACTTTAAAATATGGCTGTGTTGAATATTTGGTAGCCTTTTTAAAGGCGCCCATGTATGTACAGAAATGATAAAAACACTTACAATGCGTTTAATCTGCATATAGCATGTGTGTATTGCATTATAGAAAAAATATAACAAAAGTAACAATTCATGTTTTGTGGTTAAATGTTTCTGTTTTCACACTTCCACAAAAAAAAAGAACAATCAAAGATTTTTAAATCATGAATAGTTACACAAACACTTAAAAGGTGAGGACTTCCTCTTCCTTCCGCCACAGTTTTGTTCATCTTACTTTGTTCCTGAAAACATGGGCGTGATCAGAACAATATGCAAAGCAGGCACACACATGTATTCCCACGAGACTTCATTCCATTGGTCTCCGCCAAAGAATTGTATTTCCGTTTTGTCTGGCAGTCAAGGATACCTCACACTTGGCAACAGGTTTGGATGCAGTTTGTTGGAAAGTTAACCAATGGGACGATGAGGAGTGTTTATAGTTTAGACCTCCAGGATTTCTTTACATTGCATGTTTTATTTGTTTTGCTTTTGCTACTGTTCTTACTTTAAACATGTATCCCAAAACATTATCTGTCTATCATTGCTTATTCAAATAGAGATTTTAAATACTCTCTAAAAGCACATTTGCAAATAGGAGATTGTGTAGCAAAAGAAGAAGTGGATTGTAGCTTATTGTAGTTTTTTTTCGCATGTATACAAAATGAATGACTTGAAATGAAAGGTAAACGTTGTTTTTGAATGATTCATGTGTATCCATCCTCACCTGCCTCTCTGTCTGCAGCTGGTGGAGGACTGTTTCCTGGAGACCTCAGGCAGTATTGTGATGGAGGGCAGCAGGCTGTGTGTCACCCCGGTGCGAGGCAACGGCAACCACCTGTGGAACATCAGCCCTGATGGTCTAGTGCACTGCGTCCTGAAACCTCAGCTGGTGTTGGAGGTCAAAGGTCAGACAGCTTTGTCTTAACCTCAAACATGTATTTGTTCAGGTACATTTTAGGAATGATTTAAAAAGGTTCAAGTAGGTGATTTTCAGTCAATTCAATGAGCCTAACCCTAATTCAACAGCTCCCTCTGCTGGTGTATTGAAGAAGTGCATTGATTGAACACAATATCAAAATATATGAAGCAGTTATGCGATCACATTTTTTTATGTCATGTTGATAAAAACCAAAGGAGGCTTAGTATAAGATGTCAAAACATATGGTTAGTAAAAAAAGTCATAGTATGTCAAACTTTTCAGAAAAAACAACATTACACAGTATAGTATGTTGAATGTTTGCAAAGAGTATAGTTACTATGCCTTTGTGTTTTCTATTTATTCGACATACTATACTATAGTATGTCAAAAATATCATAAAAAGTCATAAAATATTCATAGTATTTTGAAAGTATCATGAAAAAGTTACAAGTTAGTATATAAAAAATATAATGAGAATTCACCATAGTATGCCGAAATGTAACCTATAGACACCAGCCAGACCATGCAACCCGCTGTTGTTGGTGGACTTGGTGAACGTGTCTCTTCTTGTGTATGTAGAAATCTCCTAAATTCACCCAGTTATTTGCATATTTAAATACACTTTCAGAAAACAGGTGTAGTTTCACGGGGATAATGTTTATTCCCCTGTGCCTCCCCTTAATGATCCACTTACCAGTTTGTGTCAACAAAGATGTTTACAGTGCAAACACACTGACTTGTGTTTTATCGTCTTAGGTGGACATCAGTATGACAAGAACCTGGTGGTCCTGAACATATGTGACGAAAGAGAACTGAACCAAAGGTGGACCTTGGACATCCTGTGATCTGATGAGCAGCTCCGTCGTGGGGCCCACTCCACAGAGAGGGAGCATCGGATCAATCGTTGCACCTTTGTGTGGAGTTCTGACTGTTGAGGGGAACCATTGACTGGATCAACAATATAACTATGTTCTTAGAGTAGATTGAATGATTGAGTTGTGTACAAATATTACATATTTCTTTGCCACTATAGACCAAAGACTCCATGCACACATCTCTATGTTTTTACTGCTTATAGAGAGGACTCAGCCCTGGTTCAATGCTGCACACCTCTCTTTACTTTATGGTACATTTCTACTGGTTCCTTTGTCTTATTTCTGATCATAATGTCTGCATATGTGAATGTATAGTGTATATTGAGAGCTGCATTATGAAGTCTGACGTGCACACTACACTCCAAAGATGTATTCTTTTTTTTATCAATTTAGATTAAAAAATATCTATTGTAGAGTTTGGATATCTTGTTAGGACTTTTCACAAGCTGTACCCTACTGCATAAAGTTGTACATAAGCATCAAGTGTATATATTTGAGATGAAATTTCATAGCAGAACTGCAACAACTATGCTGCCCACTGCTGTAAATATGTGAATGTATGAGAGAAAGCTGTCGCACAAAAAAATAAGAATGCCTTTTTCTTTCTTTTGTCTTTTTTTAGAAAATAAAAGATTTTAATAACTTGTTTCTGTGACACTCAGTTCGTTATATTAGCTATCTCATTTCAAAACAGTCATCCACACAAATGTAGAGCAGTACAGCAAAGCATTCCTCCAAGAGTCGGTGCTATGAGTAATCATCCTCTTCGCTGATCAGGACCACAGTCTTCCCTCGAGCGTGGCCTTTCTCCATCTTCTCAAAGGCATGAGGAACCTGGGAAAAACTGAAAGTCTCCTCCACCACTGCCCGGATCTGAAGAGAGAGGAAGGAAGGGGTCATATATCCTGCTGCTGTGTGAATGCTGTGACTGTAACTGTGATGCTCTAGTTAAAAAGGAGTGAACTTTCCACATTTGTTTTTACATTTGATATATAATTATAAACACACGTGTCAGTTTGTTATCATTCCTGAAAAGTTTTGAGAACAAAAGGTGGTAATGTACCTGTCCTGCATCCACCATTTCACTGATTTCATCCAGTGCAGGACCACTCGGGGCAAAGAATCCCCAGCGGTAGTGAACCCCTTTGACGAGGTGCTACAAGAAAACAGAAGGAGAGCAAAGGCATAGAGCATTGTTACATCCTGTTACACTGTGAGCAAAGCAGAAACATTACTGGTGATAATGACAGTGCACCAAAGTAAAGTCTGAACCTGAGATACTACTTGATTTACTGATTTCCTAATTCCCAGCATTTTAGCTGATCTCAGTGCTGCTAGGTCCTGTAATAAAGGACAAAGCATTAGCCCTTGCAACTGGAATATCTAATTTGTCTTCATAAAGATAATTTACTTTTTTTAAATTAACTTGATCTGGTAAGACTGTTGGTATGATGGTAATGTTTGCATATTTTAGTTTTATTTCTGTGTTCTTCTGGGAGTGACAGTAAAGCTTACTTGAGGCAAAGGGTTCACAAGTATAAGTGTTAGAATAAAATAGTGTACAGAAGTGAGACCTATCATTTGGGTGGGTAAGTCTTAAGAGCATTAAAACAATGAAATTATAAAAGTATGTGTGCACCAAGCCATGACATACATGTGTAATACTGTATATGAGAAAAGATACTGAACATAAATGCTGTGTGTGTGTGTTTTCAGGAAGTTCAAGTAATGAAGTAGTAATTAACATATTTACTTCAGGCTAATTTAAAATGTATGACGCTGATAAAGACAGGAGCTAATGAGAGACACTGGATTTGGGAGAGCACCTCTCACAGTCTTATATCACATTGTCTGAAGCACAAGGCAGTTCAAGATCCAGCGGCTAATGTGGGCGGTATGGCTGTTCCTTTTGTTCCTATTTCTACAGAAGTGGAGTGGAGATAGCATTTCTAAGGCGTCACACTACATGAGACACACACAGTAGAGTCAGGAAGGAAATAGTTCAGGATCTGAAAATAATGTGGCACTTTCTTAGATGCTGAAAAGGAAGTGAAGAAATAGAACTACACAAATATGCAGTTGCTACTCAAGTTTCATTTCTACTTTTAAATAGTATTGTTTCACAAGCATAAAACAGCAACTCCCCCATCCTAAGATGTACCAGTATAGACTGTTTCAAGTCATTCTGCACCTCTTCTGTTCCCTTCAGAAGGCTAACACACCCCCTTGGTTTAACATTCACTCTACTTTTGGCAGGAAAAGAGAAGGGCAAGTTTCTCTGGGGCTGTCCCCGTCTCTAATAAAGCCCCTTAAGTTTAAAGTTCATGTGACATTTTACTCAGGCAGCATAGTGTGATCTCTGTTCTGAAAATGAATCTGTAGGCGTTAGGACAAGATGGTATTAGAAGTGCCTAATACTATTAGAGTAGTATTCACACTTAAGGAAATTAACTGAAGGTGAAATTAAGTCTGGAGGAACGCAAGGATGATGAACCAATATCATCTTCTGAGGATTTAGATTATTTTACTATTTTAAAATAACTTTATTTAAGATGTCTTCTTTTAACTCTCTCAAATCTGAATGTCCTGTTGAAGCAAAATGTTTCTGACCTAAGAAAAACAGACGGAGATATTTCACAGTTTGTGGGTTGGTAGGCCATTTAGAAACACAAATGTGAGTAAAGCAAGGTATCAATGGACATATCCCAGTGCCCGTTACTGTGAAAGGTTTGATCCACTTTTTCATATAAAATATGTATGAAAGCAGTTCTACAAAATTATAAATGTTGGCTGTTGTCAATCATATATGGTGTTGATAATCCTGTTTCTCTTTCCCAGGTGCCAATATCTGCGTCACATTGATGATTTTTTGAAGAACTTTTTTAAATAGCTTGATATACTCAACATATTTCTTCCACCACACATCCTGTCTGTATGAGTCAAAGCACATTTCCTTGGTACTGAACGGAAAGGAAATTGCATCATGTTGCCTTATTACAAATGTATTTAACTCCCAGACAGTAAATTCCATCTCCAGAACTTTTTCAGAACTTCTAGAAACAAAACATCTATTTACTTATTCTCAACGCCATTCATGTAAAACATCATTCCAAACACCTCAACAGGATAATAAAGCAACACACATTTGGCTCTGGAGGCAATCAGACCTTGAACCAAGAAGGAAGTTAGTTAGTGGTTAGTGCCTCGAGTCAGAAGAGGTGGAGCCACAGCAGCACCAAGCCGTGTGCATGGTGCTCACCACAGCTCTCTGACAGGATGTTCTGATCTCCAGGGAGGGGGGGNNNGGGGGGGGGGGGGGGGGATTAAGCTTATGTTCTAAAGTTGTCCTGACAGTAAAAACACATGATAATGCAAATGTACAAATGATGATGTTATATTTCGGGGAAGATAGTATCAGATACGTTAAATAACCTGTAGCAATAGTAAATATATCACAAGAGATTTTACACCTGTAGGCCTATAAATAAAGGTTAAATAAAATATCACAAGTCTGCGTCATGGCCGATGAGAGCATCTTATTTGAGAGGAAGTCTTTCACAGTTTTACTCGATTTTGTGATTAGCTAATCACTACCGAGTACTCTGTTTTTGTCTAATTTCCTTTTAATCAACATATCTTGTCAGGTACAAAGCTACTCACAATAATCTACATGTTCATTGCATGAGGACTTTAAAGATAAATGTAATCTTTTTGGGCTGCTTCCTTTTACAAAGGAACACAAATATTACACCAAAGATATCAAACATAAATATGACCAAATATGATAATTTGTTTCCTTCAACAATACAAATGTAAAATGTCCTCAAAAATATTGCATGTCAATGTGGAGCCACACGAGGACGATAACGCAAACGGACCGCAATCGTTATCAAAAAAGTCTTCCGTCCACACCACACGCAACAGGCACCAGAAACATGTCTGTTCACACGAGACCGCTCGAAAGCCCTGGAGACGCTGTAGTAATGCCACAAAAGCAGCGAAGAAGACTTCCCGCGCAAGGTTGCCTTTCTGTTTATTCTTCGCTGTGGACGCTCTGGCTCTTTTTCTCCCTCCCCAAAGGCAAGCGTGTGCTCCTGCTGTAATTCTATCCTGTAGTCCACCAGCAGATATAAAACACGCACCTCTCGCCTCTTCCAAGGGACGAGGGGACCGTGCAGCAGTTAGATATTTTTTCGCCGGTCAACATGTCCGTTAAAGTCCGGACAAAATTAGAAAAGTGCCGGTTTAAGGTCTTCTTTTTTATTTATTGGGGCATGGGCTACCTACTGCCATGATTTAGGCCACTTTTAATGGGCTTTTGCCCCTCGTTTTCCCTGTTTTTTGTGGGTTTTGCATGGTTATCGCTCGCTTTGCGAGCGACTAAATTGATCGTAACGATATCAATTATGCGAGTTGCAGTCACATGGGGTCCGCCCAAGTGACTGGGCTCGCGCGGACTATCAGCCGTCAGGATTTCCGAACCTTTTCTGTGCTTTTGCCGGTCGTTTTCCCTGTTTTGTTTTTTTTTTCGCAGGTTTATCAGTCGCTGCGCGACCGATTTCAATAGGTTCTTCGCCGACCTCTTGTCTCAGACCCTAATTAAAGCTGCAAGCAGCGTTGAGCGGGTCTTCGACGCTCCGCAGGCTGTTGTCCGCACGTCGACGTGTGCGTCTAGGTGTCTCGAGGACTCGGCCGTTGGCAAACGTGGGAAGTTTCAGGCCGATCGGACAACGTAGTTACAGCAGTATCATAAACATTGTGTTTGATGGCGAGTGATCTGTTGCCATGGCAACGACATTTGATGACACCCCATAATATGCTTACATGTATTGAGGGCTGCATCGTTATCAAACCTGTGAAGTTTTGGGCAGTTTGGAGCATTTTGGACGATTTTCCATTGAGTTACGACAACACCAGGTTTTTGGGCGAGGGATGCGTTGCCATGGCAACGGTATATGCGGACACCCCATAATTGGCATAGAGCTGTTGAGGCATGGACCAGTGATATAAAAGTGAAGATTGGGGGACGATGGGACCGTGTCAATTGGAGTTACAGCGACACCGTGTTTTTGAACAAATGAATAACGACTCTATATAATAATTAAGCAATAGCTCACGACAGGCCGTGGTATATGCTCATTATATCACAGCTAAGGGGCGTGGTTCGGCCCGACGCGAAGCGGAGGGTCGACAACCCCCTTAGCCTGTGATATAATCGAGCATATAGCACGGCCTGAAGTGAGCTATGCTTTTATAAAACGGTTTACCAAGTGTGGCAATATGAAGAGAAAAATACACACTCTAATTTAATAGTTTTTATTTAGTAAATAATGATGTTTCAAAATAAAATAGTCCCTCCGTTGC